TGGTCCTTTTCCTTTCTTCATCGATCGTTGCTATTGTTTTACCTAACCAAGAACTTACGCTCCATCCTCACTTCTCCGGATGCCTTGGCACCAGGCACTGCTTGTATGTCAGATTTGCCCGTATCTCAGGACAGCTTATCTATCATGTATCACGCTAGGTTTTCATGAAGTTTATCCGGCTCGTATTCATTCTGCCGATTTCTGGCTGCCAAATCAGTTAGAATAGCATTGACACCATTGCTTTTTTTTGCCTTTGCCTTTGGCCGAGTCTCACGCGAACCGTGAGATTTTTTTTCACGCACTCCGTTGTGACCAACCTGCGGGCGGTGACGTTGCAGGGAGGGTTTGTGGATAAGGCCACGAGATTAACGTATTCCAAGCAAATTATCTCTAGAGCGCTTTGTCGCAGAGACGAGGCACCAACACCATTCGACTCAGCGCCCCAAACAAACTCTACCGACCCTGACACGGTCATGTTGTGCCAGATCTCCCCTTTAATAATTATGACATCATAGAGCATTAGTATGACATCATTATGCATGAATATACCATAGCAGGGGCGTCAGAAGGCAATTTAGTGTGGTGCAGTCAGCCATCTGAAGAACAATTTACTCGTGTGGGAGGGGTGGCTGAGCCAATAGAATTGGAAATTTAGAGCCCAAATCAGTGCATTCGATTGATTCACGGGTTGGTACCTGGGACAAATAGTGGTATGGGTCAATACCGTAGTGAACGTAGCGTGTCCGACGCCCCTGGATAGAGCAGTGATATGCTCTGTATGGAGTGGCAAACCAGAGGTCACAATGCCATACCATGCAAAACACCGCAAGTGCTGAAGATACGCTCTGTACGGAGTGAAAAACAGCGGTCGCAGTGCAACACCATGCACGACACCGCTGAACGCTGAAGCAAGCACATTACCAGCAATGCACGTACCTTGATAGAAGTTGTCAATGGCCCAGTGTGTGCTGGAGAGGGTGCCAGACGTCTGCTTGAACACTACTCGGAGAGAGGCTGAGGAAGGCAGCGTGATACCCACATGACGCCAGACCGTGTAGTCAGCGGCCTTGTACGTCGTCTGCAGACAAGACAAAAACAGGCAGAACGTCGTGTGACTGCGGCTGTTGTTTATCGAATTTTAGTTTTGTATCACATACCGGTATTTGATTCCGTCTTTCCAGTCTTTTTGCAGTGTATTTTTTGTTTATGTTCTCCTCCTTCAGTGTGGCAAATTACTGTAATTTCAAAAAAAATCAGTGTACTTACTGATTTTTCAGTACTCCCAGTCAATTTTGTGTTAGATTGTGCGCGTCTGACTGTTCAAAATCTGGTTTATTTGGTGGACTCGATCGCAAAACTTGTGCCCACAATTTCCCATGTTACAAATTATTAACTTTCGGTACTTTCGGTGCGTCTGTTTCATACCTAAAATTTCAATACACCAAACAAACATATAATCCAATAGGGAACTGCTGCTCTGTACCTAAAATTTCTGTTCACCTAACCTGGCCGTTTGCCCTCATACCGAAAATATTGAGCACCGAATTTTTCTGTAATTACTAATGCAGTAGGTATCGGTTATAGCGTGGGTGTTTGAAAAACGCCTTTTTATTCTCATTCCCAAAAATTAGTTCTTACACACGATACTTTTTAAAGTGTGACATATCACATGCATGTGCGCAGGGGCAGGAAGATCATCGTACATGCAAGGTAGTGCTACTGTGCATGCAAGGGAGTGCTACTGTGCATGCGGCTGGTCATACATAGTCCTGTAAGCTTGCCATGTGGCTCTGCAGCATGAGTTAGAAGACAACAACAGTTGAACCTGCAGCACTGTGATGCAGTGCGAGTCGGATCAGAAGACGCATTGGACAGCTGTTAACACCACAGGTGAAACACTTCGTACCAATCTGGAATGTTTTGCTACACAAAGGTGTAGTGGAACCCACGTTCGACCAGCCAGCACTAACGCAACACTTCGGATTAGGGAATGAATTATTTACAAGAGAATTGGAAGAGACATAGAAGTTAGAAGTAAGTTATCAGAACCAGACTGAAGCACCCTGAACTAAAGGATCGACTCAACTACTGAAGTACAGAAAGACGGGCATGCAATCTGAGAAAGGAGTGCAGCTACGCACGTGGACACATGCACAGCATGAGAGGTGTACACATAAAGCAGAGGCGCGCGCATATGGGTGAGCGTGTACACAGCATGCATAGCAACATACAGTGTGACACAAGAGTCATAAGGCACCTAATATAGCAGTTCATAACACCACTCCCCTAGGTGCCATTGATCATCCACTGTATCTAGCTGGCTGTCGTCGATTACCAGGGCCTCGGAGATCGTAGCGCTGAGTCGGCATGTCAGCCGCAAACTCGATGCTCACCACATTATCACAGGCAGCTGGCTCTGGGCGATCTTCGGCAGCATCATGGTTACCATCATCTAGTGTTCCATCTACCTGCTGGGCGTGTCCAGGCTTCACGATATCAA